AAGACATACAAAGTAGATGCACTTCTTCCTACTGCCTGATTAATTCACTGAGCTTAGAAAGTGACTCTTGTGTGAGGCGGTCCACGTTCAATGTCAGTATCAAAGTGCTGAATCGTACTGCTGTAGACATAAGTGACCCTCAAATCATTGTTGCCCATTTTCTAATCTATTTCTTTTGTACATGCGCTCTACCCTTGAATGTTTGCTTTGATCATCCCGTTCAGGTAATTTTGAACTTCCATGCTTCCCACTCAACGGCAGCCACAACTCCAAAGTTATAACTTACACAATACTAGTAAGAAAGTCTTCCCTCTAAACGATTTTTTACCAATCTAAAAACAAAATTGTAAATATAAGACAATTTTTATATTTGTATTTATATTTATAGTCCTATCCAAGCCATTATTAAGCCAGGTGCCACTAATAAGATAATGACACTATAACCAGTCACCAGGCAATGCCGCTGGATGATTAAGAGACCAGGGATGTGGCATATTTGCCGTACTGTAAAATACTCTAAAACCACTAAGTTATCATTTAAGATTGATGAGTCTTCTAACTCAATGTCCCACATTTTCATAAGGCAAGGGAAATGAACAGTTGTTTTTCTATACTTAGGGAAGGGTTTAGCAAACTTCTTCTGTAAAGGGCCAGACAAGTAAATATTTTAGTCTTTGTGGGCTATGTGGTTCTCTGTCACCACTCCTCAACTCTGCCTTCGTAGCGGCAAAGCAGCCACAGACAATACATTAGCAAATGCGTGAGGCTGGATTCTGAGACAACTTTACCTGTGAAAACCGACGACAGGCAGGATTGGGCCCGTGGGCTGTGGCTGGTCGCCCCCCTTCATGGACACAGGGCACACGGGCGTGTTTCGCGTGTGTGCATGTCTGCAGGCATCAGCGGGGGGACAGACGCGTGCATCAGCACAGCAAACCTCTCTGCTCCACCCCATAACCAAGGCCGCTTCCTGGGCACCGGATCAGTGCGCGCGGTTCAACGCGCTGCGGTCGACATCTTGAAATTCCTAAGGGTTTTGTACCAGAATTTGTGCTTCTAAGTCTGATGAGACAGTGGAGCCCGGCTCCCCAGCAAGGTCTCGTTTCTCCACTGTCCCCAGGTAGCCCGAGGGCAGCTCTCAAGCACTTGTTCCCTCCAGCTTCCTTTTCCTGGCCCCTGCCCTTCCACCTTGCTGTCCTCCGCCCAGGGCGGCTCATGTTCTGCCAGCCTGGGGAAGGCTGGGTTGAGTACGTACAACCCCAGCGTCTCAGGGCAGGACCTGAGGTGACCACCCCTGTCCCAGGCTGGCAGTGTCCTCAGCATGGAGCCTCTGCTCACCCTGATCCAGGTACCAGCTGTGTCCCCAATGGAGGCTGCGGTCTCCGCGGGGTCGTGCATCCGACCTCCTCAGGACAGGGAAGAAGGACTCCCCGCCAAGCCCGTCCCCCCTGCTGGGTGGCGCTAGGTAGCGGCAGGAAGCAGGGCGAACCCAGATGCACGGGCCGCGCGTGCGCAGTCACGGGCGGCTGTGGGCTCTGCCCTCTCGCGTGATCTCGGCTGCACTGACCTAGCCGGCGGGAAACCGCAAACGAATAACGGGGTGAGTGGAGAGACAGACTGCGGAGGAGAGGAAAACGGTTTATATTTTTGTACCTGAAACCTCACTTTTTTCCTGTGTTTTGAACAAAGGGCTCTGCATTTTCATTTTACACTAGGCCCTGATCAAAGCTTAGGGGCTAGCAAAAATCACCTTCTGAGATTCATCTACCAAAATGGAAGTTGACAAAGAAAATTCCAGTGATTTCAGAGTCGGCTAACCTCTGCGATGCCAGGTGATAGCAGCGCTTCCTGCAGCGTCCCTAACGCCAGACGTAGGCTCTGAAATCAATCCTGTACTAGGAGTCTGGGACTCTGGGCTTGATGACTGGGGCTTCCTTCAAATCGTTTGCCAAAGGATTCATTCATATTTCTTTCAAATGATAAGTCACCTTATAAATGTAAAGCACAATCAAAATACTGGGTATGAAATTTAATAAGACAAAGAAAGTTGAAATTTTTTAATATTTCCCTTTATTTCCTATATTGGAGGTGATACTATAACATTCTAACATACCTATTTTCCTGACTTGAATAAACCAACTGTAAAACAAATATTGCTGAGATGGTCAAAGAAATTTAAATACGGGTCGGGCATTATTTGATATTACAGAAGTATTGTTAATTATCATTAGGTGTGATAACGACAGTGATTAGGAAAAAATATTTCAAACATGCACACTGAACTATTTATGGGCAAAATAACGTAATGTCTGAGTTCTGCTTTAAATACCTCAGCAAAAGAAGAAGTGGAAGAAGCTGGAGAAGAGAAGATGGAGAAGAAAAAGTTGATGATAAACCAGCAAGATGATGTTCTCTTTAGCCTTTAAAAAAATGTATATTTTAAATTCCCACGATGGAGTATATGTGTGTGTGGCTGTTGCCTACCCAAATTTTCTAATAAAAATCAGAATACAGATTTTTCATTCTCCTTCATACTAAAATTTTTTGTTGGTGTCGTTTGATTTTTTTTTTTTTTTTTTTTTTTTGGTGCAAGAAGCATCCTCTGAGGCTGACAGGAGCTCTCGGAGCCGAAGAGATACAAAGGAGTTGATGGGAAGGATGATCCGCCCATTGATTCCTGACACGACATAAAAAAGAAAGGGAGAAAGTGGGAGGAAGAGGTTTCTATTGTTCCTCTCCTAACCTTTCCTTCTAATTATGCCAGAGTCAAGGCTCGGGTCACGAGGAAAATGATTTCGGTGCTCAGCCATTTGCCCTAGTTTGTATACATCAAAAACGCTCTTGTTCTCACCACATTCCAATCTCAGTTTCCCACCTACTTCAGAAATGTATGAAGTGTTCAGATTAACAAAAATATGAACAAAATGACTATGTTACAAGGAACACCTTTTTGTAAACCTAGAGGTAGTCTTCTTGTTCTTCTGAACTGCACAATACGTAACACTTTAAAAGTTAAACACACTTTGTATTATAGGTATTTCGGATAAACGCTCGACTTGCCCAGCTGCTAAAAGTTAAATGTAAATTTCTCTCCTGAGTGCAGATGGCGGCCACGCAAAGTAGCTCTTGGGTCTTAGAGACAGAAGGTCAGGTCATGGCTGAAAGACCAGAGAACAATTGCTGCCTTGCTACTTCAGATCATTCGTGGAATGAGACACCACCACTTTCTTTTCTGAAACTGTCTGTTCAATACAAAATAGTGACAAAGACTACCTATAAGATTTCCTCACATTCTGTCCAAAGAAAAATGGTAACAAGCACATCCCACCACCAACATCTTGTAACCGTTCAGAGGATTTATTCCCAAAGCTCTGATCTCCCAAACAGGCACATCTCTCTAAAACACTAAAAATCATTCTGAAACTGTTCGTGTTTCACTGTTTAGTAGGAAATGTTTACAAATGAAAACTCCTTTCTAAAATCCTGCAACTTTAGCCCCCACACCATTGCTGGTTAATTAAAATGAGATATGAGACACAGTGCTGCTAAAAGACAAATATTACAAATACTTCTACACATGTTATTCATCTACAAGTGATACTATAATTGTTCCTATAGTGTTGTTTTTTTTTTTCTCTCTAGAACATTAGAATATAATATTAGACAACTCAGAGACTCTTCCTTGCTGTATTTTTCCAGTTAGCTCAAAACGTTATGCTGGCACATACTATAAAAACACAAAGGTATATAATAATGCTAGTGAGCATGCCAACATGATATTTTTATTTAAAAAGTCATAATAAATCAGGAAGGGGAAGTTCTGTGTTTGGTTTGGTAGCCCTAACCTTCAGTCTCTGATAGAAAAGATTTTTTAATTCTACTATCAGGCACGCCCCCAACTGGATGGAATAAAATAGGTCCATTATTTGTACATGTTAATAATGAAAATTCTCCTGAAAATTTAAAATTCTGTAACGCTTTGAATATAGTGGTACAAAATCAGAATTTGATTTTGGTTGTTTAGATTTTAATTTAATGCCAGGGATTTCAGTTTTGACTCAAAAAACTTTTTATACTAAATATTATTATTAGTTATATTTTCAATACTTTTCCCAATTGTGTTTGCATCATTTACATAGAGAGTTGCTAGGGTTGAAAGGGAAAATGTGTTGGAGAATACGATAAAAACCTTTGAACTAGAAATGTATTTTTTAAAATTTACTTTTAAATTGTAGCAATTTCTTTAACATATTGACACTAAAAGCTCAGTCTTATTTTAATTGAATAGATTTATCAAGAATATAAGAATATAAGGAATGTAAGCCTTCAATGTTCAGCACTGTAACTTAAAAATGGAAAATCAAAAGTGAGACTCTTTATCCACGCTGTCAATTAAAATTGGAACATATACATGATCTCAACAAAGCTATAACATAAAACATCTGTTCAAACTGAAATTGAAGTAAGTAGCATTTTTTTCCCCTAACATTTCTAATTTCACTGTATTTAGGCATCCTGAGCAAACGTATTCATGGTTATCTTAGTTAAAACTGGTTTCACTCTGCCAACAATCAATTTGATTGACATATTTACATATCAACTCATCTCATCTTACAAATTTTAAACTTTTACACTTAAAATTGGATTCAAGTTGGCATCTTTCAAGAACTTTATGTACGTATATTTTAGGTTCAAACTGTGCATTAGAACATTTTTTTTTTTTACTTTTGTAAGTAATAGATACACATATCCAAATGTATATTTATGACCTGTCAGATTGGAATTTTATATGCATGCAGTTGTATTCTCACCATTTCATGTGAAAGGTGATAATTTTAGGCAACTATAAATGAAATCCTTTTAATGGTGTAAACTGAATTGTTCCATTAGTTAGAAACAATATAATTGAAAGAAGTGACTTAGAAATGTAACCACAGCAACTTCGGGAAGAAAAGTAGTTATGTCTTAATTCCTGCAGTTACTCTCGTGTCATCTCTTACCTGATCTTTAATTTCAAGATCCCTCTTAGTTTTTGTTCTGTACTCTCTGTGCTCCTTTTCTGCCTCATCCTTCTCCATTTTGGTTTTATTCAATTGATAGCGCATTTCCCCACACACCTGTTAGATTATAAAAACTAGATCAATAGCTGCTAGAATCTACCAGGCGATGCCTGCAATTAGATCTTTTGGTGCCCCCTAGAGGTCATATAAATAAAATACAATAGAACTTTTCTAAGAATGGCACTTTCTATTAGAATATTCATTCAATATAATATTCTGTCAAGATATAGTGGCAATATCAGGTATTACTGAGTCTAACAATTTCAAGTTATAGATAAATAAGTACATAACTAAGGAATTTAAGTAATGTGTCCACAGTTTATTACGTAAAATAGTTTCGACTGCATATTATCACCCAAAATGCACTATCATCTCAACTTTAACTAGGTAAAATTCTGAATTAAAATAATAAGCTATGTTGTTACTCATTCAAATTGTTATGATTAAATAGACTATATTATAAAACTTTCTTTTAGAGACTTTATAAGTTAGGCTTTTATTTAAGGAAATTTATAAAGAAATTTTTCTCTTTGCTAATAGACTATATTATTGACATTCAGTAGTAGCCAGTATTTACTATAAGCTACGTAGATAATGTCAATTTTATCATGTAAAGTACTATGTATTTCAGTTAAGAAATATTATCTGGTCAAAGTCAGAGACTGGAACTAAGCACACTCTGCATTTGTAACTGCAGATTCAACATAAATGAAAAATGTATATTTATGTGAAATGATATTAACATATCATAAATAATGAACACACATAGTATCATAAAAGTGCCCCCTATATAATTTTTTCAATCCATGGCCTCTACAGAGATACATGTATTTAGAAAGTGCAATCAGCAGACCTAAACAAAGAAATTATAAGCCTTTGAGATAACTGAGCATCTGTAGAGAAATCAATTAATGCACAGTTCTAACTCAGCCTCTAATTTACAAAAACAAGTTTTAAAAATCTGTATCACGCAATGATTATATCTGATTGAAAATTTTCAATTTTCATATTTCTCCAAAAATGATGATCAGAACTTTGGAAATTAGTTTCATCATTACTGAGGTATCAGAACCTCAGAAAACTAATATGTATTTCCTGTTTCCTATATTCAAATAAAAAATATTTTTAAAAATAGACTAATCTGTGTACAAAAGTTATAGTGACAAGACAGAAGAAAAACTCACTAAGCTTTTCCCCCACGGCCCTCGTTAAGCTAGAAAAAGAATAAGATTACTAAAAATTCTATTTGAAATTCAAAAGCTTTCCATGTGTGACAGTTGATCCTTTCCATTTCAAAAAAAAAAATAGTAATTTACAGAAGGTTATTAATTTTCAAGCTAAATAAAATTTTAAAATTAAGAATGAAAGAAAAAATAAGAGGGGCTCTAATTTTATTTCTTTCTTAGTTCTTCACTGTTCCAATCTATTTGTTTAACATGTATAAATGAAATGAAAAATATTGAACTTGATAATACCAGAAAATAACAATTATACAACCATGGTGTTTAAAACTCAACACCAAGACAGAATTATTATATGTAATAAATGTCTAAGCATTAGGTCCTATATAAAATTATTTTGTCCTTTAATTTTATTTTTTTAAATTCCCTTGCCTGACTACTTTTAGTGTAGCATTTACTAAGTTCATCCATAACATTTAAATTCTATTTAAAATAAACTGACGAATTAAACTGAATTAGAATTATATTATCTCAAGGTTGGAAGCAACCGCGAGGCGTTCTTCTGATGCTTGGGACTCTCTGGACAGTTCTAAAGACAGAGTATCCTCATTCTGAACTGTGCACATCTCAGCGGAAAGTTCTCTCCCGGAAATGAGCTATGACGTCTTGCCACAGCATTCGCCCCGCATCTGGGTTAACCATGTCCATCCCTCTGCACCAATTCTCTCATTTCTACTCTTCCCTTCACACCAGCACATCAATTATACTGGCAAATAGGATATTTTTAAACTTCTGCTTTCGCTAGCTTGCATTTTAGAAAGCAGATGATAATTAGAGAAAATCGAGAGAGAAAAAGAAAAAATAGGCTCCTTTTTCTAATGTTAAAGTTCATTTTAATTACTGTATTAATACATGTTAAAGTTCACTTTACTTACTGAATTGTAAAGCAGCAATGGCATTAAAGATGTGTCGAAATTTAGAAAAATATGTTGAGAAGTAAATTTCAATTTGAAAAGGGCATGTATTTTAAACACAGTAATCTGTGTGTGTATTGGTCAAAAATAAATTCCTTTAATTTACTACATCGTGTATGCCTATATTTAGTTTCTTAGTGTTAAAGCAATTGGTTATGGAAATAGACTTCTAGTGTTTCTTAAATATGTACTTAACATTAGCCAGTTAAGACCATTAAACATTTTATTTCTAGGTTCACAAGTTTGTGATGCTCATACAGCAAACACTGTGGCATTTTAAGGCATAAATTTAAAGACCAATAAAAAAAGAAGTTGTAATATTAGAATCTTGATTTTCAAGACCAAGTCTGAATAGGAATGGGAGGTGGAAAATTTTTTATGTTAAGCACATTATTCGTGTTGTAAATATATGTTTTTTAGTTTTATTATGAAGACCAAACCTATGCTATCTCTGGCAAATGTTACTCCTAATTAATGAATTTTGAGATACAATTTTACTCACTATTTGATAATTAAAGGAATGAAACTTGCTTATTTACAAGTTTGTCTCAGCGAGTGGACTCTTAACTGTTTCAGGACGTTGCGTGAGTCTAATTCATCTTTCCAGGTGTGGCACCCAGCAAAGGGCCTGCTGATAGGAGGTACTGTGGACTTTTATTATCTTAAAATAACAAAACTTTTCTACTGCAAACTTCTTTCTGGACTTTGTACATTAGGAAAATTTTTTTCAAAGAAAATATTTAAGTAATTATTCAACTAATCTCTCTCTTTGTACCTTTGTGACATCCATTTCCCGAGAACTAAGCTGGCTTTGAATTTCCTCTAGTTGATTGACAGCTGAAACCTTCTCTCTTGTAACTTTGTCCACTTCGGCCTCCAGCTGGGCGATATTCTGAGACAGGGTCAACATCTGTAAGAGGAAATGAAAATCCTAAATGATAATGTCATTTGGCAAAATAAATAGTAAACGTATCTTGAATTAATACAGTCTCGGCACAGCCACCGAGTCCTCTCTGTACGTCATTTCTCTGTGGGTTGGCTACGGCCCCTTCTCTGCCTCTGCGACTCATCTGTCCCCCGTGACTGGGATACGTACTTCCCTCCTATGCACCCCCTGGTCTCCACCCTCATTTTGGAAAACACATAACAAGATGATAAAATCAAAGTTTCGGTTGAAACTCTAAGGTGACAGATATCAGACATCTACATAAGTTATGGAAGGGACTGACATGAATAAATTTCAGAGGGGGTATCAAAAAATCGGACAACTCTGAACCCTTCCCCCATATGGAGGGCAAAAAAAGAATTGACTGGGAGAGCTAGAGGCAGATATTTAGAGAGCTGCTCCTGTGCCATGAAACCCACTCCCCTTCCCCACACCACTAAAGAGGAGGCTCTCTGCAGCTCCCCACTGGTGATCACTCCCACCTTCCTTTACCCAGCTAGCCCTATTCCTCCAGTAGGATCCCACCAGCCATTACGTCTTCTCTTCCAGGAAGGCTTCCCGGACCTCCAGCTCCCGGCACAAGATCGAAGTCCCGCCGTACACTCAGGGTTGATACTGAGTTAATGTGCACGGGACAGCCGTGCCTGCTGCTCGCAGCTGGCATCCGTCCACACTGACTGTCGTCCATGCTACACCAGTGGTGGCACGTGCTCTACAAGCCCCTCTGTGTACCTCTGCCACCCCCACGCCCACCTCCACTTGTCTGTTCCTTCATCAGACTAGCAGTCCCTCAAGGGCATGTTTCTGGAGGCTCCAAATGTTTAATGAATAAATGGATAATGAAAATAACTGGCTTTTGAGGGACTCTATGGAAATCTTGTTCTTAGTGTTTCTTTTCAGGGTTAGAAATGCTTTCTAGATCTTAGATTTCAGCCTTTTAGTTTTGTTTGTTTGTTTGTTTGTTTGCAATTACATTTTATTCTAACCAGTAAGTAAAAATTTTCTAGACTCTTAATTTCTTAATTTGTATTAGCGATTTTAAAATAAAGAAGAAATGCTACCTATCCCAGAGCAAAATATATAGAGATATCTATCAGTTTTTAAACTGTTAAAACGAGAACTGCTAATGAATTTGAAATAACAACATTTGAAATCTACCATTGTACAGTGACATGGGTGTGGATCCAGTTTTACAACTGAAATCGAGATGAAAATTTTGTGATAAAAATCAAGGTTGCCTTCAAAATACACATCTCACTACAGCGGACACGTAGGAATATAATAAGCCCTTTAGCTATTTGCTAATTTATACACAGTAGATGTATTAACTTTTCTGGGGATCGTGGAGAATTATATATTTGGCATATATAGTTGTTTATATGTCCTTCTTATCATCAAAAGAGTTGCTATGAATATAATTTGCATACAGAATTACTTGTACTAATACCGAGCTACAAACCACCCTTATGCACATTGCAATCTGAACCTGAAATTAAAGGTCAAAAGAAGTGTAACAAGTCACAGATATTAATTTAATTTCCTTAATTTAAAAATTCAGGTTCATGAATACCCACATCATGAATGTGTAATTATAGCTTTTTTGAAATCACACGGCAGCAACAAACTTTAATTACCAGCTACTAAAAGTCATATATATTATTTACTTATGTGGAGATATAGCTTATGGTAAACATATTAACACTGTGTGATTTTTGAAGTAAACATGTAGACATATTAGCGGAACTGCTAATTGTAAATACTGAGTCAGTTTCTATCCTAAGGCATGTAACAAATCACACGCCTTCCACGATTCCCTCCCTCTGCCACCCATCACTTCTTTCCTCTGCCCATTACCTGTCTGCTCCCTCCTGTCACCCACTTCCCGAGGCCTCCCCTCCTGTTGTCACGCCTTCTTTTCCCCCATGCCCACCATCTGGAAGTCACCATTACACTGCAGGAGCTTCTCCATCCACATCTGCTGTAGAGACAGAAGGAACGCAGACAGCTGCAACACTGCTGGGTATCCAGGGCGCTGACATCGGGGAAGTCCTTTAAACTTTGACAGGGGCGAGCAAGAGACAAGGACACCCAGGTTGGGAGAGCGTGATAGAAATTCCTACACTAAAGCAGTCTCTCGTGTACTGAACATGGAATAAAGTGCTCCTTATGCAAGAGGCACAAGCATTAAGGATTCTAGCAAAGGGCTACTGTCAAGGGAACCAACCGAGAAAACGCACGGACCGAAGAGGACACTCGATCAACATATGACGAACGACCGAACCAGCAAACCTGAGGGGCTCCATGCGACCAAGGACCTTCACTGAAGACAACACACAAACTCACAGCAAGTGCCTTTCATAGGGAGATGATTCAAAACCTGTCTAGGTAGAAGGCATCTGCCCTCCTAGAGCTTCCCACACAGATGAAATTTACAAAATTAAAAAAAAAAAAAAAAGGAAGAGGAAAGAAGAATAACAATGAAAAGAAAGACAATCGAAATGCCTCAGAGCACTGCTGAGGGCTGAGAGAGCAGACGCTTGCTCTGACTGCACTAACTGTAGAGCACGTGTATTATTAGGATCAATTGTTCGCCTCCCCATTAGATTGACTTCCTGTGCTAGGCGGTAAGATACACATCCTCTCTTTTAATCCCATTGGAGAAAGAATTATATTGGATTAATTTTCATTGAAAAGAAATGAGATTCAGTAAATTAAGTAATTTGCCTAAGTTCATTCAAATTAATAAATAAAAAGTAATGCCGGGCTTTGTATTCAAATCTGTCTGCTTTTACTCACATGAAGATCCAAGAAATCTATCCAATGAGATAACTTTTTCTCTGTAATAAGAATGATAATAGTTACTAAAATTTAATAAAGTTCTACTCTAAGCCAGGTGTTATATTAGGTACTTTCAAAACATGATCTTATCTAATCCAGTGAATTCCTTGAGTAAATTAACTCCATGATTTGCTCCTTTAAAATTCGGAGAGGTTAAATGAATCGTTCAAGGTCATGGAAAGGTCAAGGTAGATTCAGCCCTAAAGCCTTTTACTCCAGAGCCACTTTCCACCAGTTCCTGGTCACGACACTGGCTGCAGTGCTCACACAACTGTCAGCGGCTCGTTCACACATCCTTTCTTAGGGCAGGACCTGGAGATGGAATATCACCCAGGACTTACTGAGGGCAAAACGCATGACTCTGACTCAGATCCACATTGCATTTCTGTTGTCATCTTAATTCACGAAATAACTGTCAGTATAAGAAAGAGGTTCAGAAAGAGTTTCCGTTACCTACGAAAGCACCTGGAATACCGCCTGGCACATTCCAGCCTTCCTTTGTCCTTTCTGATCAGGAATTCTCTTCGACGTATTTTTATACAGTAGAACTACTTGGCAAGGCAAAAAGGTTTCCACAGAATAACCCAGAAAATAAAGATCTCTCAGGCGTGAACAATAGCTGGTCTTTGCTATTGATGCTGTTCTCTCTCTTATGCCCAATGCTCAGTTCACACTTTTCCTCCCTCCATGCCGTATGCATGTGGGCTGCAGCTAGTCTTCCTTGCCATACTCTGCATTTCTAAATGCTCCCTATTCTTCAAAGCTCAGTTAAAAAAAAAAAAATGCCACCTTCTCCACAAAGCCTTCCACGATCTCTTGAGGACAGGGATCTGTTCTGATCCTCTGAACCCTCGGCATTTTCATTCATTCATTCATTCATTCAACAAACATTCGCCGAGCATACTCTCTGTGAGAGGAACATGCCGAATGATGAGAATGTTAACAGACCATACACTCCAGGGGCTCACAGTGAATTAGGGGAGACAAACAATTCAAAAAGAATTTGCAATAAACTGAGTTACGGGAGCCCACAGGGAAGGCTCCCGGTTCATCTTTGGGAGGCTGTGAGTAGAGGTGGTAGCAAGAAGAACTTTGAAGGATCTGTCAGAGAGGGCGGAGGGAGACTGCTCCGGGCAGGGGGCGAAGAGCGCGCACAATCAGGAAATGAAACAAGAGCGTGGCAGATGGGCACGTGTGCATGCCTGGGGGAGCGCGAGGAGGTCAGTATGGTGGCAAAACAAAACGGGAAAGTCAAGGGAGACGAGACTGGAGAGCCAAGAGAACTGCAGTGTCTCCACGCTCGGCTAAACGGTCCTAAATTTTAGCCAAGGGGCTGCAGGGAGACGTGAAAGAATTTTAAAGCAAGAGACTGACATACCGAGATGGTCACTTTGGAAAGATCATCTGGCTGTGGTTTCGAGAACAGTCTGGAAGGTGGTGAGGCTGGAATCGAGGTGACCACCTGGGCTGTGAGAATCATCCGAGGGGGAGACGGGGACAGCAGTGGATGGAGAGACGGGGCGATGTAAAATCCCTAGGGGCCTGAATCTCTAGTACTTGGTGACGTGATGACACGTAGGGTTAGGGAGAAGGAGGAGATAAGGGTGACAGCCAGATTTCTGAGTTAGGCCACTGGGTGAATAGTGTTTCCCCCAGGAGAGGGAAGGGGCCAGGGGCTGGCTTGGGAGCTCACCAGAGCACTAAAGATACATAACTCGATAACATATATTTGGTTTAAAGACACAGTAGTGCTAAAAACACTTAAATCTATAGCTCTCTGTTGAATTCTAGATCTCTTTCTTAAGCTGCTTTCTGGATGTGTTACCTTCATTGTCTCAAACGTACCTTAAACTCAGAGTAATCTAAAAGGCACACACCATCTTTCTTTCAAATCAGGAATGTAGATTCAGAAAAATCAAGGAAAGACAGCTTTTCAAGGACAATAAGAACTAAAAAACATTCACTAAAAATAGCGTAAGGCCTTCATTGAACAATGCGATGGTAAGTTCACTGTCTATGGGCACAGAGCTGAAATGCTGTGGGCCGAAGAGTGAACGAGAAGTGAAAACATAAAGACAACACGTGAGACAAATCTTGAAAGAAACTTGACTCTTAAGGGGAAGAGTAAGGAGGGATGTGAAATTACCGAGGTGGCTTCCAGCGCTGGCCGCACACTGGAATCACCTGGACAACTTCAAAGAACATGGACACCTGGGTCCTACCCTGAACTGTTTTGATGCAACTGGTTTAATGTGTAGACTGGGCGGTGAGATTTTCAGAATTTCTGAGTAGCCAAGACTGAGATCCACTAGATTAGAAGGAAGACTGTGGGAGAAACTTGAGAGTTATCTTCTCCGTGATAAGGGAGGGGCCGCAGTGAAGGAAAGGTTAAAGATTTGGCGGGGCGGGGCGCTGAGAATGAAGTCCCCAGAGTGGCAGAGGACAATGGCACCCAGGTGAAGGATTCAGATTAAGCCTCGCCCTTTCTCACCGAGTTGGATGCAGGTGAAGTTTGACTTTAAGGCAGAGGTGAGGGGGGCGACGCATAGTTGAGATGAGTACCACCTAATAGCTTCGGTTTTCTTCGTTAGGTAAGAAAGGCTCTCGGCTGATAATGAGGAAAAAGATAGGACAGTCGAGAACTCGAGGAGAATAAAAGTGATGTGAAATAGTCCTTAAAAAACGGGTCCAAGATACCACCACCTTCCACGTGGACTAGAATTACCTCGCACTGACCCCCAGGCATTTATTTCGGTTCTCCTTCCAATCTAGAGATGGAATGACTTTTTCTCAATGATAAAGGGCATCAGGCCACTGCCTAATTTAAAGCCACTCAATGGCGTTCCAACGCTTCACATGGATTTTAAGGCCATTCATTACTTGGTCCCTGCAGACTTCTCCAAACGCATCTCCCACTACTGCCTACGCTCCAGCCACCTGGGCCTGCTCCAAATTCCGAGGAAGTACAACCCTTTCTGGCTTCAGCCTGGAGGTGTTTTCCTGGGTCCAAAACTCTCTTCGCTCAATTTTTCACCTGACCACTCCCCTCCTTGGCCCTTTCGAGTCTCCTTTTCCAAATTTCTTCCTAGGAAAGTCTTTTATGACTGTCTAGAAGAGGTCACATTGACTTGTTATACATTCTCATGGTACCCTGCACTGTACCTTCGTCATGGTGGTAATTAGGAAGTCATTTATGAAAGTATGTGTTTAATGTCTGCCTCCCCCACTAGACTGTACGCTTCATGAGAGGGCTGCATTGGTCCTGTGACTACCAAAATCCTCGCCCCTCCAATTAATATCTGTTAAGTGACGAATGAATGGGAGACAGAGGAATGCGTAGGAGGACTGAGAGGAAGCTCCGAAAGAAGCGTGGACACCGAAGGCCTTGAGTGTACAGTGGTGCCGTCTGCAAGGTCGTGGGATTGTCACAGGCTGAGATCACCAATCCAGGAAGGAGAAAGCAGACAGTTAGACTGACCTATAGTGAGGTCTTGACGGCGCAATCTTTGGAAAAGAATACAAAGACAAGAGAGTTTATGATAAATGCCTTGGTTATCCATAAGAGTTCAAACTCAGCAGGCAGAATTTGTGTTTTTTTGTGTTCTCAGGCTTGCACGTTGCCTCGCATAGAGCAGATACTCAGTAAATTTTTGCTGTATGAGTTAATTACTATACACTGGAATATTATAACACGGTATTTAGGGTACTGAGTTCACGTTTTAAAAACATAAGAACAAACAAGTAACAGTTGTTTTGGTTACCTCGGGGACCACATCTTGCTCAGTTTACTCTATTGTAGCGACTGTAAAGCTCGACCCTGTATCCCACTCTGTTACTGTTTTTCAGACACCGCCCCTTTCGTGTTATCGGTTGTGTTTGACTTTCATTTCTCCCTTCAATTATTCATTGGGCTCTGGTCATTATTCTTCATGTAAATGTTAGAACCTATTTCGTACAGCGTATATGATCACTTTTTCTTGGTTACTCGGTTTCTTACGAGTGTTTTATCTTCTGCAAGTTTTAACTTGGGGTGAAGGATAAAGTGGGGTCGTCATCTCTCTCTGATTTAGCCAAAGTTGAAATAAAATCCGGGTACCTGAAAAGCACCTGCTCTCCTCTGACAGACGTGAGAGAGGGAACTGAACAGTACGGCAGGATTAAAATACATTTCTTACTTTCATGCGATGGAATCAAATAGATTATTCTATTTGGAAAGGTCAGAGAATATAACTTTTATTGAAAAATACATGGAAAAATAGAAAGCTTTTATGAACCCCAGGTACAGGAAATGTGACTACTTGTAGAGTTTTGAGATTTAAAGTGCCTTCAAGAATTGCGGCCCCTGTCGTCATCGGTGACATCACCACAAACATTCCCCTGCAACGTGGATAACGATCGGAATTCTTTCGTACCTTTGAGCCCATGTCCTCCCTCTCTTTGGTTATTTCTTTTTTCATCATCTCTTTCTCCAAGGCCCTTTTCTCTTGCTGAGAGGCGAGTTCTTTGTGAAGTCGTTCTGTCTGCCTCTCCAGTTCACTCTTAAACTGTTCACACTGGATTAAGGCCTGTCAGAATAAGCCACAGTAACACAGGAGTTTAGGATTTGAAAAAAATAAGGGTAAAATGACACAGTTATGCTTTACTTTTATTTAAAATAGGTAAAACACACCATAAAGTCAATTAGAAAAATTTTACATTATTTATTCATACCACTTATTGATAAAACAGTATTCAAATGTTACATTTATTCACATATTTCAATTTTCATAATTAAGGTTAAATTAACTTATCAACTAACAAAATTTAGGTAATGGGCCTTGATGAAGGCTATTGATGAGTAAGAATTCTGAAAAAGGGGAATAGAATCATAAATTGTTCTAGTTTTTTCAGTTATAGATCATGTTTATACTACATGAAATATATCAGTATCCAATTTAATTGATTTTTCATCTGCTCATGATTAAAAATTATTTGAATACCTTAAATGATAAAAATGATAAACAGATGAAAATTTTTAAAATGAGATATTGTGTTTATCTTTACATACAGGCATCTGTTTTTAACATTATATGATAATAAAGTTTATTTAAATATAACTAAGGTAAGGTTTAGCTCTCTCCCCTTACATACATAACTATAGTAAGAATTAGACAGTAATCAAAAGTTAAGACAAAGGAGACTCAAAACAGCATTTACTACTTAGTTTTATAAAATGAGAACTGTCATCTTCCATTTCTGGTAATTTAATAATCCATAATTGTCCATTAGTCTAAATTTCCCACTCTTCATTTCCAGAAGTAAAAAATCTATAACTTCCTCTTGACTATAGTCATAATATATTGATATAGATTACCCGATAATAAACTATGCTTCAAAATCCCATTTAAAAAATCCCCCCCAAATTACAGTGTTTAGCACAGAAAATGTGAGACATTCTATAGTGTGTTAGTCTTATTTACAATATCTTATTTACAATATCTACCTCACCCATCTCTATTACTCCCTGAATTGAAAAAAAAAGAAACTCAAATGATATATGACTCACATACTGTGTGATTATAAATCTGACAGTCTCGCTGGTTGTTAACAGAGACAGAAATGGCCTCAGTAAGCACTGCGGTAAGTCTTATTCATGGCTATGCCTCCCTCTGGTGAAAGCTATAACAAATACAGACGATAAATATCTAGATATGTGAATTTTCCCCTCTTCATCTGGAAAGTATTAAACTTTGATTTCTTTCAAACACTTTCAGAAAGTTTCTGTACTCCTAGGTAAAGTATGAGGTTAAAACTAAATCGTCTCAGATTACCTGATAAACAAATACAGTGACTATAAAAATGATTCTCCTAGGGAGTTGGTCCCAAGTCCAATTCTAGTGGAGAATGCTTTGAAAGGAAAATTTAAAATTAGATTTTACAAGAAGTGAAAAAGCATAATTTTTCCAAACTTTAAGCCTTTGGAGCTTGAAATATTAGGAATTAGAGACTTTTGTGCTTCAGAATATAATTGTTCTTGTGAAAAATATTTTATGTGAACCTAATAAAAATGTTCATAACTTTTGCTAATATGATGAATATACTGGTATGAAATAAAATGATTATTGAACATAAACCAACATAAACCAACATAACCTCAGGAGTCAGCATTAAGTTTATTAAGCTAAGGAGCAGGCTGACATGAAGAACAAAAGAATCAATTTGAAGAATTCATTCAATCAGGGACAAGGAACAGCAGATGATCCTGACAGGGTAAGAGCCCTGATGCAAAGATAAGATGATACAAAGCAGAAGTATAAGGCAAGAATTTATAAATCATTTAAAACTATTGCCGAAGCCTCTCTCTGTAAGAACGAGCCACCACCAATGGTCATGATAAGTAAGGATGAAAAACTAATGAAACGCTGAGTAAAAGTTTTAGATTAAAAACTGCTTATCGATGACTCTCAGTGTGTAACCAATGATTCCATATTATAATATCACATTTACTTTTATTTGCTTTGATTTTAATATATATGCCCAGTCACAGTGAAGAAAATACTAAGGCTTAGTAACGCTTGGAATTAGAAAAGTGATTTAATGTTTCTAAAGATATGTCTTACAGTGGACCTCATACTAGGAAGATTTGGTTCTACTAAACAAATATTTATACACTATTTCCATTAGAGTTTTATGTTTTAATTCTAAGGTTCCTACCCCTAGTTTCCAGAATCCCAGCTGATTCAGTACTCCCCGATTATACTCATGTAACCATGCAGGAAAGGCATAGCTGAATTCTCAAAGGCTAAGTTGGCAAACAGTCAATTGCAATGAACTGACAGATCTTCACCCAGGAGCCAGTAATTCCAGGCCTGCAGCTACCACCCCTCCCTGTTCCCAGTGTGGTGATTTCTTCCCCTCCCTGAGAACAGCCCCTGGAAACGTGGCAATGACTGTAGGTCTGGAAGAGCTGGGAAATTATACTCTCCCTCACCCAGTAGATTCAATCCACAAGGGACCTTTTCTCCTCCAGGAAATTCCTTTATTTGTGGTCATTCTATGCTGCTCACATTAACACAATTTTCAAAACATAATTTATTGGACTTGATATTCCCACTACTAATTTATTAAATCAAAGAGTATGTATTACTATCTTAATGCGGTCAAAACATTTCTAAAACAAATTCAAAGCTAGTTAACTCAATTCTTAAAACAGAAAATCTATTTTAGAATATAAAGAAGTCCGTCCCCACCACTTGAGTTAGGCTCATAGAAATCCTTGTGATAGAATTCATAGTTAAAGAATTAAAAATCTTACGAGAAATACAGATTTTATACTTGTGAATATAAACTTTAAAACTTATGAAAATGTTTTTATGTTTATGAAAGAAAGCCCACAAAATAAAAGTGATTATCGACACGTTTTAAACATTTAACTTATGAATAATGCAAAGTACTGATATTTAATTTATAAACTCTTGCTTACTGTCAGTCTTATCCCTAGCTCCCTCTTTCAAGATATTTATAATTTGTTTTTGTTTTGTGGCAGATAACATATATATCAAGAAGCATTATTTCCTATGCCTGTGCCTGCAATCAAATACTCACTGCTTTTCAGATTTTCTTTTTATTCAGGTTTCTAATTCTTGCCTTTGTGATTCTGCTATAGCCCAGGAAAAAGAATATTTTGGATCCTTGAAATGGAGATAAAACGTTTCAAGCACATTTGCTGAACCTGTTGGGTTGGTATTTTTGAAAACACATTTCTTTGGAAGGTTATGTCATTTAGATATGCTCATGGTGACTTCATGCTGAAGCCAACCATTTCCCTTCGAACAGAAGCAGGTGGGCCTATGGCCTGGTTAATAACCTTTGCATCCTATAGCTTTCCCAAGGAATCACTGCAAAAGCTTCCACTTTTCCACCCTCATTTATTCCCAGGTTAATATTTTTTCTCTTTTGAAATTATCCCCAGTTGTAATGGCTTGCAATTTTCGAAGGAAAACAAAAACATTTATTGAGCACTTACTATGTGCCAGCTACTTTGCTAAACGGCTTAAATGGATTCATTTATTTAACTTCTTCACTAAATTTTAAGTGGTTCTTATTCAGTTGAAGAAATTGAGGCTTTGAGATTTTAGGTAACTTGACCAAGATCGCAGACCTAGAAAGTGGCAGAGTAGAGATTTCTTACAAGCAGTTCCACCACTGAGTGTATGCATGACACTGTAATTTCCTTATATTATAGATTTACTTTCTGATAAAATCCTCAGCTGTTTTCACCGCCAATGTAAATGCAAATGCATAAAATAATTGTTTACCTACTGAGCATGCAATATGCAAAACTGAACACTAGATGGCACCAAATGTCAAGGAACTACAAGAACAAAGTAACCATTTTGTAGCTCAAAAATAATTCAGTTTACCTACTGAGCATGTAGTAAGTAGGTAACAGGTTTTAAAATTAAAATATATGTGCCATCTCACTTTTTATTCTCAGAAAGCAAAATTCCTAAGGTGCTTTAACATACCTGAGAGATAAAACTAGTACACTTACACTGCATTTTGTAAACTACTTAGAAATCAACCTTCGTCTTATTACTAATTGAGTGAAAAATGCTACAGATTCACAACATACAATAGCCTCTCCAGTTCTTAACTGTTATTTTTTCAAAGCCCTAACTACAAAAATTCATATTAATTTTTAAAGCTAATCATTGACTTTAATTCAACAAACATTTATTGTACAATTAACACATACTTGGCCACAAGGAATACAGTGACAGACATCACAGATCTGACTTTTAAGGTCTTTTGGACGATAGGGCTATGTAAACAGCTACCAAAACTGCACACAGCATCAACGGGAAATCAGAGGAGGAAGAGATTTATCCAACAAGAAGGGGTTGGGGAAGCTTTGGGAGGAACGGTACCTGAATCGAGCCTCGCCGGTTAAATAGATTATTTCACAGATGAATACAGCTCAGAAATGTAAAGCATGACCCAATTCAAGGAAATGGTCATTTGTAGGTCACATTCCGGAAACAGCATGTCACAGCACAGGTCATGTGAAAGCGTGTAGTGAAAGATAAGGATGGAAAAGTTAGACTGGAACCATTTTGGGAAAGATCTGGAAGGTCACGCTTGAGGACTCTGTCCCGTGTTGTGCCGCAGGAGAGCTGCTCCCTGAACAGGGACGCGCAGGCGCAGGGAGACTCGGGCAGTGCGGCGAAGGCGCGGGCATCGGGAGGGCCCCGAGGTGCAGCGGGCGATCGCAGCAGGAGCGCGCGAGGGCCGGGACCGGGCCGGGACCAGGCCGGGACCAGGGCCGGGTCGGCGGAATGGTAGGCGGACACAGCTCAGTAAGGGGCTCTGAGGACAGGGAGAGACCTTGGTCATGACCCCCGGTCTAAGAGCGAGAGATGGGAGGAGACAAGATAGCTTCAAGGATACGAGCCAAGGCTGTTGGTAAGATAGTGATGCCACTATTTGAAAAAGATGATAAAGAAAATGGTAGAAGGAAAGGAGGGGCAGGCAGGAAGTGGAGAGAATTAATAATTTGGTCGTGCAGAGTTTCAGATGCGAGTGGAATGCCGTTCATAGAAAGTTTTAGCAGCAACCGGAAAAGCAACCAGAAAAGGTCTGGGGCTCGGGACAGCGGTTAGGGCTGAAGGCACTGGGCGGGCGTGCTGGGGTGAAGGCAAAGGTTTGGCCAGAGAGAAGATACAAACTTTCAGAAATCAGGGCAACATGGACGAAAGACGCTCTGTGTAAAGTCTACGTTTAAGGCTCGTGGAAAACGAGTTAAAAGAAACTCAGAGGAGTAGACAAGAGCAAGACAAACGGGACCCACAAGCGTAAAATGCCAGACAAATCATTTACAGTATGTAACGTAGGACAGTTGTGGCTTCCAACACTGCAGAGCTGAGTGAGATGAGGGCTGAGATGAGGTCACCGGGTTTAGTTATCAGGAAGTGGCCGGTGGCCATTAAGTCAGCAATGCAGTGGCATGAAATCAGACTACAGTTTGCTGGAAGCCCGACTGCCATGCGTTTGGAAATGCATGGAAAGCTGCACGGGCCGACGACTATTCTGAAAGGTCTGCCCGTGAAACGACGGGGAGAACGTCGTACACTGAATCGAGGGTGATCGAGAGAAAGCTGCTTTTTGTCTGTTTAAACCAGAATGACAGCTATAGATAGATGAGGGGGGAAAACAGTGGAGAGAAAAAGACAGAAGATACAAAAGCTGAGACGACAAATGGCTCAGGGTCCCTGAAACCCTAGAAGTAGGAGATACCAAGAACCCAGAGCGAGAGATTAGTCTTGGGAAGGAAGAGGGCCAGAGAAGCAAGAAAAAATTAGCAGAAGATGCACGTGAGGGATGAGAAGGTGTCGCGCGGGCTCTGGTCAGTTGGTGGTGACCTAGGTAAGGCGGGTCACCTACTAAGAGGGCGACTGGGAAATGAAGCCAGTCAAGGTGACAGCCAGCTGCAAAGAAAGGAACTGTTCAAAGGACTGCTAAGCACCGAAGGTGTCGATGGGGCTCTTCTTTGGAATTCGTCTTAAACGGCTTTCTTCAGCGATAGACTGAGAGGAGTAACAGGAAAAAAAATGTGATTGGGCTTAACTTTCACTGGCACTGGACAGCTAGGTAAACTGGAAAGAAAAGAAAAAAGAAATTATTTCTTTGGTGTAAGTGAGAACGGATTGCAATTCCCTTAGTCGATGGATATTTACTGAGCACCTACTATGTGATAAGCACAATGCGAGATGCTAGGGACTGAACAGTGAACAAGATGGATACATTCCTTCTTGTCAGAGATTTTGACACTTAGTGAAGGAATAAGCAATATTTACACATCTTGATAAATGCTGTAATGAGAAGTGGTTCTCTAGTGGGGCCAATTTTGCCTCCTCCCCTCCCGTGCCCCCGGGGATGGCTGGCAATGTCTGGAGACATTTTTGATTGTCAGAACTAGGGGGAGATGGGTGTGCTGGGCACCCAGAGGGCAGAGGCCAGGGACGCTGCTAAGCATCTCACGGTGTGCAGGACATCCTGAGACAAAGGGTTACGCAGCCCAAAATGTCAACAGGGCAAAGGATGACAAACCCTGCTATACAGGAACATAAGGGGTACATCCGATCTGACGCGGGGGGACAGAGGGTTTCTAGGGACAGGGGCATGGAAGCTAAGGTCTGAAGGATGGAGAAGACAGACAGGCAGTGGAATAAGGAATTCGCATGACAGGTACGAAGACTCAGGCCGGGAGAAGCACCGCCTAAACAGAAGGCTTCACAGCCCCTGCCACCACCACCGCCATTACTTACTAAGGAACTATTTTGTGTCAGAATTTCTACAAAATAACTGATACGCCTTTTAAAATGTAGTCCTCATTCATAACCTTATGAATCAGAACATTATTTCCATTTTGCAGATTAGGAAAATCTGAGGCACAGAGACTTAAATAAAGTGCCCTAAGTCACCTGGCTAGTGAATGGTGGGGCTGGAAGCTTAATCTAGGTCTGGCTAACTGGAATAAGACCATTTCCGATGTCTAAACTCTACTGCCTATCAAACTGACCGTGGCTGAGTCCGCTGGAGGATACGGTGTAAGCAGAGAGAAATAAGAAGTGACAGCAAAGGGTTAAAAGGAAGCACATTGTGACAGACCTCACAAGAAGGAGTTTGGAGATTGTCCTGAAGGCAGAGGGAAGTCACTGAAGGGCTATAAATAAGAGAGTCACGTGATCAAATCTGCCTCAAAGAAAGATCACTCCCGGCTGCAGTGTAGAAAATGGAGTGAAGAAAGGGACATGAGAATTTTGGAATTCATAAACACAGAGACTGGTGGCCTGAACAGGAAAGGCGACAGTGAGGAAAGAACTCGAAAAACTTCAGAAACTGAGATTTGTGCCTTGTGCTTGGTTGGAAGGCAGGCACGACGGAGCGCTGCCATCCGGGTTTCCAGGCAGGGCATGTTTATGGACAAAGGTGCCATTCAGTGAGCAGACGACACAGAAGTTTCGGGGGAGTGAACGTAAGGACTCCAGTTTACGACTGTAAAATTCATATTTAAAGGGAAAGGAAAGAAGATCAGCCTGGAAACCACAGATCAAATGAGATGAGAGGCTGGAAACTAGAAGCAGGGGCACGGGCGTGGTGTGCCCGGCCGGGAGGAGGAGGGAGGCGCAGGCCGGAGAGCGGCTTCAGGGCTGAGGCCTCAGGGACACTTTGGTTCACATGGGAGGCGCAGACTAGGAGACATGTCAGCGTTAGGGAAGCCGAAGTCTGTTGGGACTAAGGCATGAACATATTAACAACATGGATGCTGAAACCTTTAAAAATGACGAAAGGAGGTAAGATGGAGGATGCTGTTTGTGCCCCTCCTAATCCTCATGTGTGATGGGATCTGGAAGCGGAGCCTGAGGGAGGTGACTGGGTCATGAGGGTGGAGCCCTCGCGATGGCATTAGGGTCCTTATAAACGAGGCCTGGAGGGCTCATCGCCCCTCTCCCAATGTGCAGACTCAGAAGAGTCTATGGACCGGAAGTGGCTCTCGCCAGGCACTGAAACTGCCAGTAACTTGAACTTGGACTTCCAGCCTCTAAAAATGTGAGAAATAAAGAAAAAATTAGTAGAAGATGCACTTGTGAGAAGCAAGAAAAAATTAGTTTGTCATTTAAGCCACCCAGGCTATGATATTTTTGTTATGGCAGCCTGGACAGACACAGACAAGGGGGAAAAGGGTCCGATGCTAAAGCTCTTAAAACGTGTCAAAGGTACCACAACTATTTTATAAACCTGAGTAGTAAAATGCAATAATTTCTTTTAAAAAGTGTCAAATAGTGTCTTCTAGATGGAAAGTTTATATTAACTAAAAGTAGGGAGAGGAGAAACGACAATGATCTCAAAGAGACTAAATGGTGGCTGAAAGTCGGTGCCAAAATAAAGGCTGGAAATGGCAGTTGGGGTGAAGTGAATGCTGGTCCCTCCGTCACAGCCAGACGAGATGAAATGAGTGGCAAAAGGCCTTCGCTGGGGGGTCATGACATGACCAAGGGGCCACTAGACGTCAGTATGAATGACGAAACAGGAGTGGTAAAGGAAACAAAGTGTGTTGGGGCGTTTGGTCAGAACTGAACATAAATTCAGAAAGCACAGAAGCATTAGTAACGTAAACGGTGATGGTCAGATGGTCTGGGGAGAGCTGAGGACAAACTGGATAGTGACAAACGGACAAGGCAGGGACTGAGAAGAAGCACACTACAGAACAGACCAGAATTTTCATAAAACGCTGATGCTGCTGTATGGCTTACACTGATGGTAACCAACAGAACTTTCTGTGGTGGCGGAAATGTTCTCTTCACGGCCCCTCACATAATCGCGAGCTATGTGTGGCTAGTCAGCACCTAAAACATGGCTGGTGTGTCAAAGGAAAGTCCACAGAAACTGTAAAGGGTTGAGGTGTGGCCCCCAAACCCAGCCACCAACCAACGGTGACTGCCTGTTATTTAAAGTGCCCACGACACTGCCTGATGGCTAAGCGTTAGCTGTTATTGGCATGGTCATTATCATTAGACACATTTGATTCAGCGCGCGGTGGACCAGACTCACAGCTAAAGATGCTATTAAATGCACATATACTGTTATCTGTAGCCTGTTTGGATGTTCTCAGAATTTCCCGTGTATACAGAAAAAACGTGTCATTAGTCAAATGTGAATGTACACACGTGAGTGTGAAGATCTTCACAGCATTGAGACCTCCCAGTAAATAGATTAAGCATATGAGCCTCTTGAAGCACTTTCCCACGTTGTACTACGTTCTCCCAATAGCGATACAAGAGTATTTGCTTAGGAATAAGAACTCTCCAAACAGCAAATCTGTTTAATTTAGAGAAGTCAACATTAACAGATTGGTATTCACTTTGCGTGTTTGGGAAAAAAACTTTAGTTATGGATGAATAACAACAACAACAAAATACTCAGGAAAAATTAAAAAAGAGCCACATGGCTCGCCTCTGCTTGAATCTAAAACGCAGACTTGCCTTGGTTTTCTCGAAGTTGGCTTCCTCGGCCACGCGCACCGCCTGCTTCACCTGCTCGCAGGCGCTCGCCTCCCTGTGCCGCGCGTCCGCCAGGCCGCCCCGCGCCGAGACCAGCGCCGACATCAGGTCATCTCTCTCCCTGTCAGCACAGAAAGAACATTCAAGACGAGAAACGATCACACGATCGTGGAGGCCTCAGTCAGGAAGGGACGAGCGCGTCTACGGGTTGGGAGCGGCGCTGGGCGCGGGGCGCGGCGGCCAGGGTGAGGCCGCATCGGCGGGGACAGTGGTGGGGACAGTGGCGGGGACAGCGGCGGGGACAGCGGCCTGCTGCTGGAGGCGACGGCACACGAGGGCTGCAGACGAAAGCCCGGAAGAGAGGAAAGTCGTTTACAAGTGAAGGGGGGCGGTGCTGAAAAGAAAATAAAGCGACAAGGTAGGGAAGGTGGGGAGCGTACCCCAAAGTGGAAGTAAACTCGTTAAGAAGGCCCAGCTAGGGTTCTGTTTACACGGCTGATGCCCCTCTCGTCTAGTGGGACAGACACGTGCTCTTTCTCTTCCTCCACAATGCTCTCTTTCACTCAATTAAATTCCTTCACTTACTGGTGAACACATTTCTTCTTTCAGTGGGTGGTCCATGCCGCATCCCTTCAAACGCCCGGGTCACGCATATAAAGGCCCTAAGTCAACAAAATCTTATCCCTCCAGGTTTCCTCCTTGCCCAGCTCCCCACTTCCCCAATCAATTCTCAAAGGTACCCTAACTAGGCCATTTCTCAGGGAAAGAAGGGAATGGAATGCAGAAATTCTTCAGCATGTAAATTAGCACAGATCCAGTCTCATGGGTTAAATAAACCCCAAATAAAAGATTCCAGGATATTTGGAATTTATCCACTGGATAAAAATGACCCGTAGACCAAAGACAGTGAGGTGGGAAACTTCCTATATACACAAAGCAAACAACTATAAGCGGGATTGTTGCGAGTTCTATTCCATGCTCGTTACAGAGCTCAAGTTTTAAACTATGGTTTCAAATTCAGTTGAAGTAACTGCAGTTTCCTTTTCGTTGCCAAGGTCTAAATTATTAGAAAAGAGACAACTGTGATTTTTTAAAAAACTTTAGCAAACTTTAAGGAGTCATAATTTAAAAGATTATAAACTCCGAGTATGAACTTCTTTCAGAATTAATCAATGACTCCATTTAAAAAATCTCTTAAAGATAACATGATTTAAACTATTTGTGGTATTTGGAAAGCAGCCATACTTTGAGAAATATGTAATACTGAACAAAGTTATAATTATTAGCAGTTTCATAAAAGCTTTTTGTTTTAAAAAAAAGAATAAATTGCTGTAAATATCATAAAATTCATTGGAGCATGGTAACACTCATTTTAGAATTTCCTGATGTGTTTAAGTTGAGAAATATAATTTACTTTAATTTTTTGTTCTAAAGGAAATTTTTTAAAAGTTTCTTATTTTTAGGAAACAAATACAAGGATTATGTGAAAAAGTAGAAGAATCAAAGCAAATTATTCTAGTTACATAATAAATTAAATACAAGCAAAACTGAATTTATATTTACTTATATTTCAAAATAAGCTCTACCATAAAAAGGGTCTAGCTTCATAGAGAATATGTAATCCAACCAGGACCTAGAATTCTACAAGAAAATTAAAATTTACTCTTAAGGATAGCAAGTCGACATGGACATAATGTAGTCACCGTTTTTTTAAGTTTTAACAACTACTGAAAAACCAGTTACTATTCAATGATATCCTTATCTATTCTTAATATAATGCCACCATTAGAACCAAAGTTTCAAATAAAAAGAATTAACAAAAAAAGCTCAGTGTTTATCAGTATGTTAACAGATCACAACAGGATTGAAATCTAACAAATTTGTTTTTTATCTTTAATACATTTAACCTGTTTTCAGTATATCCTCTCGTTAAGAGTGCCTGCCACACAGTAGGTACTCGATGAAGTGACAGAACAAAAGGATGAATAAGGACTCAGCGACAGGAGGGCATCGAAAGAGGTGAAATGAAATTCCCAGTTCTAATATTTTATGATCTAAATTTTAAGTCACTAGAATATTTAGAATTGGAAAGTAAAGAATTTAGTTGCTCTGGTTAAAAAATGTTTCAGAATATCAACTCACCAACCTCGGACTACTGAACCACAGAAAATTATCAAAGATAAACTGATGTCTTGTTAGGCTCATCGTTCAACAGTAAGACCATAAAATGATCAGACTAAACATCTGTGTAGCCACTGGACTGACACACTTCGGTTTTCTGTAAGAGGAATGAACTACGTGCTTTGCGGTGGTCGCAGGACGGCCAACTACGTTGTATATACGCTTATAGGTGCGGGTAACCATTTTGGCAATTTAGGATTACCTACTCAGTCGTTACATTTTCAGCTTTGTCTTGTTATGTTTTGTTTTGTTTCGACTCAACCAACCCATATGCCAAATTTGAGCAAGCACTCAAAACAAAAACAAAAATAAAACAAAAAATAGGTCTGGGTATTATAGCTCTGTCTCGGTACAAGGCCTTGCTTCCTGCCCCATTCTTAATGTCATCTGGCTGTCACCTTCTTGATTTTGCTCCCATTTTTCGGCCCCACACTACCGCTCATGACTGCCCCTAGAAACAATCAATTCCAGCCACTCGAGGTAACTACCAGTCACTGCTGTCCCCGTCCCCAGGGCCAGCCCAGAGTGAGCCTCGCAGGAGGGAAGTTGAACATACACGACACATCAGTGTGAGAGCGAGAGGGCCGTTCAAATTACCATCTTCCATGGCAAAAGTTCTGTGAGTGCTTAAAAACACTACAGAAACGTCTTGATACGTGGATCAAGGGGTTTTCTGAAACAAAGCAGGCAAATCAGCGTTATTCCTGCAACATGCCATCGTCCAGATGAAAGAGCAGCTGAGGCCGAGGGTGAGGTCAGGAGCACGGGTGTCATTTCTGGGATGAACTAACTAATGAGCAGGGGTCAATTAAGGAACTTAGTGTAACAATCAGAGCCAAAAAGACTGAGAAAGTCCCTGAATTATCTTGGCCAAATGTTGAAAATAAGGAAACGAGAGACTTCATCCGATCCATATGTATGAGCTTCATCTTAAATATGGAGTGCCTAAGAAAGGCACTAACTTTAATTCCTAAGTTAGTCCACAGTACCAGTTTTAAACATTTCTCAGCATCATTAATAAGTATTGTCACTGTTTTTAAAAAAGAAAGTCTAAAAGGCCAACTACAGCATTTTCTTGTTCCTCGTTTCTGAGAAGTTCCTGCCAGTCTTTCAAAGCCAACTACACACAACACTGTCAACGATCCACCCCCAAACCACAAGCTGGATGGACGTCCCAGGATAGTACAATAGCAATCATTCCTCCTTTCTGAAAAGTACATTAACAGTTCTCCAAGACACTAGGAGCTGGAGGAAGGAATTTAACACAAAGCAGTTCCATCTCGATTACCATTCAAAGGTATTTTTGATCCATAAAGCAAGAAAGAGAGGTTAGTGTTGCTCTTACCTACTACATGACATAAGGAGGCCTGAGTGAAAGGCAGAAAAGTTCAGAAACACGAGGACTTCAAATCAACTTTTAAAATATATCCAATGTCATCAGTAAGTTGTTAACTACACTCTCCAAGAAGTCCCTAAGGTCCTAACAAAACGCTGCAAACATACGGGTGGTCCGGTCTGCAAGTCATGCTTGATTCTCGCCCTTCCAAGTGCCCGAGTCATTCTTGTGTCATGTGCTCGATGTGCGAGCCGCTAAAAGATCAGCGGAGGAGCTTAATGCTGCTGTCACAGTACCACGTTTCCATTAGAGGCCGGGACACTCTTTTAATTTATAATATTTGGGACATAATTTTTTTATTTCATGTTAAAGTCATGCAGGAAATACAATGATACAGCTCATTGAGGAGTCAGGTTTCTAATTACGCATAAAACTAGAAATCCAAGCCTAAAAAGTGTTGGCCATGCTTCAAAGTCAGCATAAAACTCAATATTCAGCATTCTGCATTAGTAAGTTGAAAGAAGCTGAACACCAGGTTAGGCCAAGGGAATCGTATAGACAAAGATTTTCCTTGACAATAAAAACAGAACCCTTCCACTGTATTCTGTTATTAAAGTAGAACATGAGCCAATAATTTGCTGACAAAGCAGCAAATTGAACTGAGAAGGTTTAAGTTTATTTTATGAGGCTAAGAGCTGAAATTTAAGAATAGATACAAAGGAATACATAACTGAGCAAGAATCCAATTTCTAAATGACTGCCAGACTTGGAATCAATGTCAACACTGTAGCTTCCTCTTAAAATATTTTTCTCATGATCTACAAGAACAATATGAAAGGCAATGTAATAGGGAGGGGAAAAAACCCTGTTTTTTGTTGGTTGGCTTTGCTAGACTAGTTTTAAACTGTGCCTCTTTCTATCTGTGGCATTAAATATGCTTTTTCTTCTTTAAAATATTTTTTCCATTACCATCTCCTTGTAAAATTAATTACCAACATGGTTAAAGACCCATTTGACATACTTCTAATGCCTTCTTCCAACTCTTCAGTGATAATCACTGTTAAATAACGGGTGTTTATCCTTTCAAATCTTTTTCTATGCATATGCATGAACCTAGAGAAAATATATAGTATGGTTGTGTATGAGTTTTTAAAAAAATACAAATGGTTTCATACCATGTGTCTCTTTCTCATCTTGTTTTATTTCTCTTTCAAAAATATATTTTGGAACTTAGTTCCATATTAGTACATATAGATCTATTTCATTTTTTTTTTATGTTGCATACAATTTCATAGTTTATCTAAACCATAGTTTAGTTATTTTCCTTTGAAGGATATTTAGGTTGTTCACACCTAAAAGAAAAACCTCATTTTCTTCTACAGTTGGTTTCTGTACTCACAACACTTCTGACACTAAATGTGCAGATTACCCACAGCAAGCAATTCTCTAATTCTTGGCAGCTACTAATTCAATTTTGCCACTAACTACCTAGACTCAGCAAAGACCCACAGATTAAGGCTCGGTCTCACACGACTGAATATCCCCCACTTTAGATGCCAGTTTAAGTCCCAAGTTGTCACCTGCACCTCTGACAAACTGGCCATAAATAGGGGGTTCCTATGACCCCTTCCTCGGGTTTGATAATTTGCTAGAACAGCTCACGGAACTCAAGAAAGCGCCCTACTTCCTGTTCCCTATTTGCTATGAGAGATACAACTAATGAACAGCCAAATGGAAGAGATGATGTGTAGGGCAAGGTATGTGGGAAGGGGCATGGAGCTGCCCTCCCAGCACCTCCATGTGGTCCTCAGCCCAGAAGCTCTCCAACCCCAGAGCTCAGGGGTTTTATGGAGGTTCCACAGGCATGATGGATTAAATCACTGGCCTTAGACGATTGAACTCAATCTGCCCTCCTTAGAGGCTAAAAGGGATAGTTCCGCTGGCAACCAGTCCCCCATCCTTAGTGGTTTCCAAAAGTCATCATAAATTCAGGTATGGTTGAGAGGGGCTTGTTAAGAAAAGATATTTCTTTCATCTTTATATTCTGGAGCTATTTCAGGAACAGGGGACAGAAACCAAATATTACCATGAAAGATGTTCCTATTGCTTTTCTCACTTAGGAGATTACAAGGCTTTTAGAAGCTCTATGCCAGAAACTGGAGGTGAAGACAAAATATGTACTTCCCACATCATAGTATCACATCACCATCACAAATAACGCTGCGAAAACCATTCCCTAAAAAGGACCCGATATGCACATACACACGTTCTCGAGAATTTTGAAGTGTGTGCTACTTATATATTAATGGATAGTGTTAAATTACCCTCCAAAGTAGTACCGATTTATAGTTCCACTGGCAGGGTATGAAAATAATCCCCTGATCATGGCCTCGCCAATTCTTGTGACTATCGATCTTCTATCTGTTGGGTTGGTTTTACTGAAAATTGTATTTCCTTAAATAATAACAGAATGAGAATGAATACCTTCTCGTGTATTGACATCTTCCTCTTTTATTGCTCACCAATTCCTGTTCTTTTATCCACTTTGCAACTAGCAGTTTGTCCTTTTTATTAATTTCAAAAAAAATTCTTTATACATCGTACCAATTTTTTGCTATATGAGACGCAAATATTTCCCCAGTCTTTACATTTAATTTATATCTGGGATTGTAAACCATCTTGAATTTATTTTGTGAGGTATGGTTCTATTCATTTTTTTTCAAATATAAATGGTCCGTAAAATGGGGGTAAGAACATTTACCTCACAAATGCTTTACTATGTTTAAGAGATTATATTTTTAAATTGCCTGGCGCTTCTTGGCATATAATAAATGTTTACTACATGTTAGATTTGAAAACATATTTAATAAATTGTATAGTTATATTGAACCTATATGGATAATTTAATAATAATATAGCTAGTTATTAATATAATATTTAACAAAAACAGAACCATCAGCCCAGATCATAAAAACTACTAGTCGGTCCATGCCAAAGAGATTCAGTTTTTGTGAAACAACAGAACAGGTTCGTCATGTGTGGCTCCTAGATAGTCTGACTGTTCTTAGACTATGGGAGGCACAGAGGATTTTAACATGTATCAAGCAAATACTAGATGGCAGGAACTGTTTTAAGCACTATACAGGTATTCTTTCCATGACCCTTCAGAATAACACTATTAGGTACTTTTATCTCCATTTAAAAAATGGTAAAATGGAGACACAGACGTTAAGTAACTTTTGTGAGGTTACGTAGTAAGTTCACAGTAGAACTAGAATGTTTGACTCAAAAGCTGGTGCCCTAGCCACAGGCTAAGCTGGCCCAGTAAAATGCCAAGAGGTGGGTATTATTCCTCCAAACACTTGAAGACTCCAGACTCAGAGAAGCAAAGTGATTTGGTCAAAGGTCAAAACTGGTGGAACAAAACTGGTCTGACTTTAAATGACCACAGTCTTTCAGTCTCCACGCAGGTTCCAACTGGAGGATCTCTGTTAAAAGGGGAATGCCAAAATGCCTTGTCACGTGAACTTGCAAACGTTAACGAGAGTCTACCACAGGTCCTCGGCTAGAAGCCAGAGATAGGAAGATAAACAATACATAGCTGCCGCTTCTAAGTTTGCAGAATATAATATAGAATCACAGAAGAAAGGAGTGTAAGTCAGTTGAAGGAAAAAAACAGGGCAAGGCTGGTGGAAGAATACTTCAAGGAAGAAGCGACATTCAGACTATTTAAATGAGCCTGAGCAGACAAGAGGGAGGCAGCCTTGAGCACAGAGAAAAGCAGGGGCATGGGCGAAAACGACTATAAATCATCATTGGATAATATATTAAATAATAATTCTCAACTTCCACAGAATAAAATTTTCACAGGAAAAAGCTTCCTCTGGAATAGTGAAAACAACAAAAATAGATGTACACAGAGAACTGCAGTGTTTCAGCCCAGATGAAAGCTTTGACTACATAAATGCTCATTTGTAACTTGTCCTTAGTCAATCCTCGAATATTAATTAATACCAGGACACAGTGGGAACTTCTTCCT